CTCCTACTGTTACTCATGTTGTTACTCATGTTGTTACTCATGTTGTTACTCATGTTGTTACTCCTACTTTTACTCATGTTGTTACTCATGTTGTTACGCCTACTGTTACTCATGTTGTTACTCATGTTGTTACTCATGTTGTTACTAATAGGGTTACTACTGCCATTACTTCTGTTGTTGCTCTTGTTGTAATTCAAGTCGTTACCCCTGCAGTTACTCCTGGCATTACTTGTGTTGTTATTCCTACCACACTCCTTTTGTTACTTTTGTTGTTACTCCTGTTATAACCCCTGTTGTTAAACCTGTTGTTACTCCTGTTATTACTCCTGTCGTTACTCCTGTTGTTACTCCTGTTGTTACTTCTGTTATTACTCGTGTCATTACTCCTGTCGTTACTCCTGTTGTTACTCCTGTTGTTACTTCTGTTATTACTCGTGTCGTTACTCCTGTCGTTACTCCTGTTGTTACTCCTGTCGTTACTCCTGTTGTTACTCCATGCTTTACTCTTGTTATTACTCTTGTTGTTATGCCTGGGGTTACTTCTGTTGTTACTCCTGCCACACGCCTGTTATTACTCGTGTCATTACTCCTGTTGTTACTCCAGGCGTTACTCTTGTTATTACTCCTGCCATTACTACTGGCATTACTTTTGTTGTTATTCCTGTCATTACTCCTGTTGTTACGGCAGGCGTTACTCCTTTTGTTACTTTTGTTGTTACTCCTGTTATAACCCCTGTTGTTAAACCTGTTGTTACTCGTGTTGTTACTTATGTTGTTACTCCTGCCGGTACTCATGTTGTTTGTGTATCTTTGATGTTTGTGTGTTCAGAATGCCTACCCCTCCAGACGCTGCACCCACACCGATGACTCCGCCCTTATTATGGTAAGAGTTTGACCCCACCCCCAAAGCAGACAGGAAAAATTCATAGCTAATGTCTTGGTGGACATGATACGTTGGTGTCCACACCTATCCAACTGTCATTCCTCCTGTTCTTTAGGCTCCGCCCCCCCACCTTTTCTGGTCCCTGCAGTTTTTCCTGTTGATGCTTATGTGATGCTTTTATTTCCTTACCTTTGCTTCAGAATTGCAGCGCCAATCGTCTTCTTGTGTGAGTCGTGCAGATAGCCACATACATAAAACATTAGAGGAAGCTGGACAGTTGGTAGTTCTGAAAACTCGTGTCTAGGCAGGAAGTGGTCAGTGATTTATGAACGGTCAGATGGAGCTTAAAGACAGACGGTCTGTGTTTCACTGAAATCTTGTGTTGTGTCTCAGCAGGGGGAGGACAGAGCTGCTCTCTCTCCTACAGGTAAGACTAATAACACGACTTGTTTATTAACACCTGCTTCTCTCAGACACGTGTTCACTCCTCTTTCATTCCTCTCAGCCAATCAGTCGCCTTCTTACCCCAGCTCAGGGGGTGGGGCTTCCAGTCGGCCAGCCAGCGGGCGTCCTGACAGCTTCCTGTACCGCCTCGCCCAGAGAGAAGAGAAGAGGAAAGGTTTGTGTTCTCAGAGTCTCTGTGATCAGATATACCTGTCAGGTGTGCTGTGTGTGACTCCTCCCCCTCTGTCCATGCAGGGGATGCTTCTGCTGCRTCTCCTCAGAGCCGGGAGGAGGCTCCTGCAGCTCCTCCTCTGCTYGGAGAAGATGCTGAGTTGGTAGAACAGCTCAGAAAGGTGCGTGACTCCGCCTCCTACACCTGCCCAACTCTTCTGTGATTGGTTCACGGACCAGCTTTCTCTCCCTGTAGAACATCGAGGCCCGTCTCAAGGTGTCGTTGCCTAGCGACCTGGGAGCAGCGCTGACCGACGGAGTGGTGCTGTGTCACCTGGCCAATCACGTAAAGCCGCGGTCCGTCCCCAGCATCCACGTCCCCTCCCCCGCTGTGGTGAGTGTCTCTGGACAGGTTGTAGGAGTCGTTGGTGGTGAGAACCTGCTGATCTTTGCCTCTCTGCCYCTGCAGCCTAAACTCACTATGGCCAAGTGTCGTCGCAACGTAGAGAACTTCTTGGAGGCATGTCGCAGGATCGGGGTTCCACAGGTAACACACCTGAGTGACGGCAAGGACAATGAATCCAAAAGCCTTTAAAATGTCCCCTTGTAGCATCAAAACTCTGAGACAAAACCATCTGCGAGCTGAACTGATAAAGGTTACAGCTGTTTATAACAGCTTATAACAGTTTATAGCAGCTTATAACAGTTTATAACAGCTTATAACAGTTTTTGATGGCTTATATCTGCACATACCGGTAGCACATAGCTACAAGAAGAACACAAAAGTTACTTTAAGATGGAGGAAAAAGAAAAGTTTAATAGAACTCAGAGAAACATTTGTGAAGTTTGGATTCAGGTTTAAGTCTTGAACTAAWGAATCTTCTTCTCAACTAACAACTTTCTTTCTTTTCTTTCATCTTTTCTTTCATTATTCGTTTTCTGTCACACGTTCATGTTTTATCCTCCACCGTGTCCATCTCACCAAACACAAACACTCAGGACCGTCTCTGTTCGGTGGGGGACATCCTGGATGGAAAAGGGGGCGGGGTTTATGAGACGGTGGACGCGTTGCTCTCCATGACCCCTCTTCCCGGCAGACCTTCCCTTCAGGYCCAGTTGGCCGGCTTCGCTCTCTTTTACCTGTCCGTCATGTCGGCGCTGTGTGCCATCTACGTTCACCTAACACCGCAGGTCTGAGAACGACCRCGGCGCCGTGTCCCCGCAGAACGTCCTTCGATGACGTCCTCCACAAATGTTCTCTACAAACTATATTCATGAATGTTTGATGAACTTCTCCCGTGATCGCTGAAAACGAACGTCCCTTATAAACATCGTTTACAACAAAGGTCCTGCACAAATACTCAGCACAAACGTCCACGATCTGCAGCTAATGTCCTCTACAAACATTCACCGTCGTCCACCATTTATGTCCTTCTAATGTCCTCTACAAAAGTCCTTGAAAGACAGCACAAAAGGTTTAGCACAACCATTTATGTCCTTCAGCTCAGCACAAGTTTAGCACAAATGTCCAACGCAAACGTCCTCCAGCAACGTTCAGTTCATGAAGGACAAATAACCACTCTTAATTTGAAGTAGATATCTAACTGAATCAGTCAGAAGAACCAGATCTGTTACCAGGCCTGGTTTCAGTACAGAACAGTTGTCCTGATGTCTCTCTTTTTTAAACATCCCCCTGAGCAGACTCTGCCCACTGACACACGATCCTCTAGAAGTTTGGAGAACATCCTTCAGTGACAGGAACTGCTTCTTTCTCCCAGCTCCATCCCTCCTGAGGTTCTGAGCTGTGGGTCCAACAAGGACTGATGATACTTCCTGTGTCTGTTTCATCTTTCCTGCCATCCATCCTTCAGACCCAGATATTTGAATGTCCGACCTACAAACTACCCCAGAGAAGTGCCCTGTCCAGAACTCTGACCTCTGTTACCGTAYTTCACTTCAACCAAAGCTGGTTTTCAGGAACAGATCTGACCCACGCTTGGTAATGAGGGTATTTTGGCCTCTTTGTTGTCACTCAGTGATGAAGTTAGCATATGACACATATCAAAGCAGCTGGTGCCTTGAACTGGACCTCTGAGGAGGAGGCAGCCAATCAGGCAGCAGAGCAGGAGGTGGGAAACCTAATACATCACGTCTGGGATACGTAGTTCTGCACTGAACCAATGTTTGGACTGAGACTCATCGACTGGACGAGGCATGGGCYGGTATGACATTCTGACAATATAACCTTAGACAAAAATATCACAGTATTATGATTACTGCTCTAATATGTTGTTTTCAAATCAGYTTTTAAATTTCATTACACTTGAATTCAAACAAGCTAACAGGATAACTGCTTTTCTACTGCTTTAAGACAAATCAGGGTATACTGCTCAACAAATCATCTTTTTATTGACTTATTGTGTCATGTTTGGGAGTTTTTGTTGTGTTTTAGATTTTGAAGGTTGTTTGATGTAAGGTAGATTAAATATAACAGAAAAAACTTAAACTTTACCTGGAGGAGCTCTTATAGATCAGCTATTATATGAGACGTGTTGCCTCCTCTGGCTGCAACTGCCCATAAGTGCGTCTGTTTACAGTAGCTGAAGTTTTCCAACAGAGCTGACTTTATTCTTTCAGCAGAAGAAAACTCAGATGTTTGACCAGAGGGATTAGACCTCCATGTTCTCTGAGTCATTAATAAAAAATTAAAAAGCTCATACCACAGGAACAATGTAACAGAACATTTTAGAAGTTTTGAAACTGTGACTTTTTCTTATCGGGGTATCCGGCCCATGCCTAGACTGGACTGGACTAGACCGGTCAGCTCAGATTGGAATCCATTTGTCTGCACCTGGTTTTGGGTCAAACTCTAGAGCAACAGAAAGTATTGGATTAATATGGGTATACTGGATTAGATTATCTTTCCCTGAAGTCTGATACCTGCCTGCTGAAGCTCCGCCCCCTGCTGCTTGTTATTGCCATGCCCTGCAGTCTATCCTGGAGCTCCGCCTCCTGGTACCTGCTAAAACTTTGCCTCCTGGTGTTGAAGCATTTCCTCCTGGTGCCTGCTGAAGCTCTGCCTTCTTTTCTTAAAGCCCCGCCTCCCGATGCCTGACTAAACTCCGCCCCAGATACAGAAGCCCAATCCTGCACTTTCTGTAGGCTCCACCCCTGTTAAAGAAGCCCCGCCTCCTGATGCCTGAGTAAACTCCGCCCCAGATGCAGGAGCCCAATTCCGTACTTTCTTTAGGCTCCACCCCTGTTAAAGAAGCCCCGCCTCCTGATGCCTGAGCAAACTCCGCCCCAGATGCAGGAGCCCAATTCCGTACTTTCTTTAGGCTCCACCTTTGTTAAAGAAGCCCCACCTCCTGATGCCTGACTAAACTCCGCCCCAGATACAGAAGCCCAATCCTGCACTTTCTTTAGGCTCCACCCCTGTTAAAGAAGCCCCACCTCCTGATGCCTGAGTAAACTCCGCCCCAGATGCAGGAGCCCAATTCCGTACTTTCTTTAGGCTCCACCTTTGTTAAAGAAGCCCCGCCTCCTGATGCCTGAGCAAACTCCACCCCAGATACAGAAGCCCAATCCTGCATTTTCTTTAGGGTCCACCCCTGTTAAAGAAGCCCCGCCTCCTGATGCCTGAGTAAACTCCGCCCCAGATGCAGGAGCCCAGTCCCGTACTTTCTTTAGGCTCCACCTTTGTTAAAGAAGCCCCGCCTCCTGATGCCTGAGCAAACTCCTCCCCAGATACAAGACCCCAATTCCGTACTTTCTATAGGCTCCACCCTGTTAAAGAAGCCCCGCCTCCTGATGCCTAAGCAAACTCAGCCCCAGATGCAGGAGCCCGATCCCGTACTTTCTTTAGGCTCCACCTCTATTAAAGAAGTCCCGCCTCCTGATGCCTGAGCAAACTCCGCCCCAGATGCAGGAGCCCGATCCCGTACTTTCTTTAGGCTCCA